AATAACTATTGAATTCATGGTGACTGCAGACCATGGCTGCAAAATATGCAAGTTAAACGCAACAATTAATAATACAATAAAACTTAATAAAAGCTTTTATTGACTTAGGTAAAAGACTTTTTGAACGATTTCGTCATACGAATCATTCTCGTCCAGGAAGACAAGGTGTATGTATTTATAAAAGAAGCAGTCTTTTGTGAATGGTGTAAGAAGAGCTGGCGTCATTTTCCGGCTCACCAAAATCGCATTTCAAGAATGACAACTTTAGCTAAAGACGAAAATGCTAACTTGGCAGTTAAGTACTAAGTTATATATATGGACCATGTTGTGTAACGCGTGTTTAATAATATGTTTATGGTACAGTAACGTGACCAGTTTATGGTTCGTGAAATAAAACGACGAATATTTACTATAGTTGTGTATTAAGACATAACAATGAATTTCTACCTCGAAATATACAAAAATACAGTAGTCTTCATCGCTGATACAGCACGAGGGCTAAAATAACAAACTAATGTTGAAATAAGTCTACCAATTTCTCTTCACCTTAATTTAATATTCAAACCTTATTTAAGTAACACACGACTTTTAATGTTAAATCAATTTAGTCCAATTTTGCCAACCCTTAAAAACATATTTTAAATGAATCATATATCGATACTGTATACAAGTCCTAACATTAGCGTAGTAATGAAAAAAAAAATGTGTGCGTGTACTAGCGTACACTCGTAAGAAGTGAAACTTTTTTATGACGTTATTTTTCAAAAAAATAATATACTATATGCAACTTTACAGAAATTGGTTAAATAAAGTTAAATTAGATAAAGTTTAATAAAAGTCTTTTATTATCATAGACATAAATACAAATTCTACAATTATTTCATTTTAGCTTTGTATAATATTTAGTTTCTTATTTGTAATACATAGGTTGCGTTAGTAATAAATTAAAACACACTATGGTTTGACCGTTGTAATTAGTATGAGGGTCCGCAAAAATTGTTGATTAAAAAACTTGCAACGTGAACCTTGTTAATTTCAATTAACCTCACGGACCCAAAATACAACCGCTTTGAATTTGTACATGGTCCTTCGTTGCCGAATAGTCAGCCAGTGAGTAGAAGGCAGACATTCGACTCGCACGCGAGTGTTGTGAGTGAAGTTTTTTTGGAAAACCGAACTTGCGGACTTTGGATCGACGTCGCAACCGCAAGTTCCAGGAGCCGATCGAGGCTTCGAAGAGCATTCGTGCTCTGAAGTATTAGAGCTAGCACTGTCATTATTACAAATATTATTATTGAATTTCATTAATTGTAATAGAATTATTACTATCATTGATGTCGTTATTATATATTTGTGTTATTAATGGCTTATGGTAACTGAAATACGAAATATATTGTTTACATTTTAGAATTAGAATTAAAATAAACCCTTTGATTTTGCTGATCACTTTAATATAGCATATATATATATATTATTATGAACACACAAAGGAACTAACGCCATCTAGCGTCAACTATTAAAACCACTAAGAAAAAGATGGCGCGTAACGCAAAAATGTTACACTAAATTTTTTTCCAACCCCGATAAAGAAATTTCACTTCAAAAAGAAGTTTCACTTCAATAATTTTGGCGGAAATACTGAGTCAGTAAGAGAACATTAAATAAAATATGGCGGAATGTGACATCGGGACAAAAATATTTTTATTGCATTTTAACAATTATTGGATTTCAAGATTTAATAAGAAATTGAAACACCGGAAGAAACATTTAGGTAAGATTATATTTGAACACTTAGCCTGACACAAATGTATTTAAGACATAATAATGAGGGTATCGTATTTTTTTATTTTTAAAAAAATATCGCTTGTATCAACCACCTTAGTCTCTTCATGAAGAGGAGTTATAAATCTTAAGATTAAAAAAATAATTTGAAGACCATTCAAAGAACAAAAACGGTTATTAAGAACTATCAACGAATGCAGTGTTATAATGTTAAAGGAAAATCATTAATCTTACTAAAATAAAATAAAGCACTCGGCAAACTTATCGCTAATTCCATAACTACGACAAAAAAATGTGAAATTAGACATTTTGAATACATATTCATATTGCTTCTAAATTTTATACCTATTTCAAGCTAGCTAAGAATTTTATTAATCTACGCAACATTATTCTACTTTTCAAGTTTTATTATAATTATATAATGACAATTCACGTAGAAAAATAATTTATATTTTTTTTGTAACAATTAGAATTGAGATGTCAGTTTTACAATATAACACTGTTATGAATCATTTTTGTTCAACGTAAAAAAAGATTTTAAGTCTTCATATGTGTTGCTTCGCATTTGTAGCCCTTAATGAATGATGAATGATTGAATGAATTAATATTTGTGTGGTTGATTAGTTGAATGAATGAAAAAAAACAGTTGTTAAGTACATATGTACTCGTTATAACCTAAGAAACGCAATAACATCAGAATTAACGATTCTAGAATTTTAATTGAAGTAGAGTTAAAAACTTGAGACACCGTTTTCATGATGTGGGAGTTTCCACGATTTAATTGACCTTTACCTATCAGTTGTATCAGTCAGTATAATTTCGAATATCAATTTAAATTTAAAGTACTTTCAATTACAAATTAAAAATAACATAGACTTAATTGTAGATATTACATTTATAATAAGAAAGCGTAACTTTAAATGCCATTAAAAGTGACAGGTTGATTTAAATTACACAAGAATTTTTTTTCATTACGTTTTGACACACGGTGCTCTGAGCTACTATAATAATATATTCGAGCCATTATCGCATCTTCAGGCAAGATTTGTTTGAATTGGTTATTATCTTTGTTAGTAAAATTACAGATAACGTTTATGATAATTATGTATTAACTAATTGTACATCTCTAACCACTAAGATGTACAGAGTTTGTAAAGTTTGTACGTATATATTTTTTAAATTCCTATTTTACAGTGGCACCAAGTTACATCCAAAAAATGTCAATCGTTAACTTTTAAATGTTTTTTTTCCGTAACTTTTTTCACCTTAAACAAAATCTACGTTGGTAATTTCTTTGGCACATTTTAAAACGTTTAGTTGTTTTTGTTACGCATATCTTATCTATCAAGTTATTTTTAGTAAATTTACAATTATCCGACTAAATAATATACAGAGAGGCTTTTCTAAGTGTATCCATTTTTTTTAATTAAATTCTAGACATAAATAATGTTATATAAAAAACGATAAATATTTAAAAATCACTCGTGAGTAATTAATTACATTCACTTGAAATTATCGTCTCTCTTTTATTTTACGCGCGATCATTCATAACTAACACGCACACAAGTTCGTTTGTGTTCATGAACAGAAAAATTTAGGTATTTGTGAATGACTACCGCGTTGTCAACAAGTTCCGTTTTTTTAGAGAACAGAATGGTAATTTTTATTTTTATTTTGTTTTTATTTCAATAAACGATTATACTACCGAGTCTGAATCTCCTGTGTAAATTTGGACACCTTTAAAAAAAGTCTCCCTATATATTGTACCATTCGTTTTTAATACAAAACATTTAAGTACTTACAGAATACAAATATTTTGAGTCACATAGTACCCAAGCATTTCCAGTTTCAGGGTAGACAGAAAAGTTAACATCACGAACATTATCTATTAGTTTATTTTTGTTATCAAACTGTTTGAAATACCTTTCAAGTTTCTATTTCAATTCAAAAAAGAAATATCTTGAATACCAGGTATTTAAAAAGAGCTTCTTGAATGGCCTTACATACATACAAAATTGAAGCATCAGAATATATTGATCTAAATTTATTACTATGGAATACAATACAATATTGTATACAGTAAATAAAATGCATTCTTAAGCAATTATAATATCCGCCATAGAAATTAATAATAATCATTAATACACTGCAGATAAAATGACTAAAAACAGTTCACGGACATTTAAAAAAAAAATAAAAAACCAAAGACATTGAAATGCACAGCCCATCTTAGGGACTTTTTTATTCAAATAAATTTGACACATTACAATATGATTAATGGGAGAAAATTGTCACACAACTAGTGTAAAGAACAGTTTGAAACATTTAATTTTTAAATGTATCTAGCTCACATGGGAACAAAAAGAATTTATAGCATAGCGAGATTTTAATTTTCTAAGTGTTACATACTAATACATAGTTAATTACGATGATATAAATACGCGTCGATATGAACTTGTTCAAAAATAAATACGGTATCGAGGGACAAGCCTCATTCAATATATAGAGAAATCATCTCATAGCAAGATATGATCGATATAAGCCTCTAGAACTATTTACGGAATTTTCTTTTATATCTAAGAAGGGATACAAGCATCATTTACGTTATCGCAAGATTCGAATGCAGGGCAATAAATACGGTAAATCACAAGCACACAATCGCGTGGCGTATCACAAAAAAATCACTGTCCCGCTTGTACTGTGCCCGATTGCCAATCGCATTCGCGGTGTAATTGGAAAAAATAAAAAAAACCGATTCGTTATTCGAATTACATTTGTTAAATTACAATACCGCGAACCGTTTCACAGATTAGAACTATGTTGACATTAATTTTTTCTAAATTACAAACAGTTCTCATTTTAAAATCCATAAATACGTATCGTGACGTACCAGTTTTTTTTTTTTTAAATGTAAACAGTTCCCAATTCAAAATCCACAGATTCGTGACGACACTATAAAGTTGCTTTTCTTTTTAAATTTAAACAGTTCCAAATTTAAAATCGCCGTTTCTAATGCCACTGACGGATTTCGCCGCGAACCGATCCGAAACGGCGCTGACACTTGACAGTTCGTTTTACAATCGGCATCCGGTTTAATATACACCGCTGTACTGATTGTGAAGCCCATCGAGGTATGACGTCATCGTTCGCTCTTCGGTCACTGATATCGTTACATTCCGTACGCTTCTTCGCTGATGTGTTGTTTCGCATTCGGTTTATTTGTTGACGTCGCCCTTTAACGCCCGGTCTAGTACCGCCTTGGAGGCTATCTCGACGGTGACCGTCTTGCTGATGGTGGACAGCTGGCCCTGCTCGCTCATCTGCACGTCGGCCAGCGGCTCCGTGAGGATCCTCAGCGAGGACACCTTCGCCCGTTGGTACGCGATCACCGTGTTCATGCTCAGGAACCTGGAAAATATTTTAGAATGATTTGCTATTCTATTATATACTGTGGAATCTGTTGCGTCTACTACGCGGTGTCAAATGAAACCGCGTCGAGGGTTCTATCGAGTTCGAATTCGATTTTTATCTTCCCAAAATAAAATAGGTCGGGAGGTACAGGTCGGTGAGTAAAAAGGCACTGACCACGTATCTAGAACCGGTTGGAGGGTCAGTGGACAGATGGATCCCAATCCGTGCACCATTCGAATGAAAAACCAAGGGTGAGACAGCAACTAGCCAGCCACCATTGTACACTAGATGCGATCTGGATCAGTGGACAGAACGCGCTTGCTCTCACTCAATGGTATACCAGCCAGTCAGCTATGAACACTAAAGTGAGCCTGATCAGTGGGCGGGAGCTGTGTATGCGACTCAATGGTTCACAACAGCCAGCCATTAACACTAGAGACGATCTAAATCAATGTGCACAAGGCGCGTGCTGTGACTCACTGGCTCAACAAGCAAGCCAACCATAAAACGGCGTTCTTGAAAGTCGGCAGTGGGCGCGTGTTGCGACCCACCGGCTCAATCCAGCCAGCCAGCCAGCCATAAACACTAGACATATCATTGGGCGTGAGGCACGTGCAGGGCTACTGGCTCCCACCAGCCAGTCACCGAACACGAAACGCAAGGCGCGTCCTTGAAAGCTAGTAGCAGGCGCGTGCTTATTCCCGCTGGCTCGCGAGCCAGCCAGCCAGCGGGCCGGCAGCCAGCGCGGGCTCACCGCACGGCCACGTAGCAGACGAGCAGCGCGGCGCCGGCGCACAGCACGCGCACCACCGGCGAGGGGAAGAGCTGCACCATCACCCACGCGGCCGCGCCCGCCCCCACCATGCACGACACGGCGAGCGCGGTGCGCACCCAGTGCACGCACGTGAAGCCCCGCTCCCACTCCACCCTAAAAGCGAATGCGCAATTCTTTTCAAGTTTTTAATAACTGCATAGTGTAAAAGAAAGTCGTCTGTCCGTCTGTCTCTATGTATGCTTAGATCTTTAAAAGTACGCAACGGATCTTGATGCGGTTTCTTTTACTAGATAGAGTGATTAAAGAGTAAGGTTTATGTGTGTAATACATTGCATCCGTGCAAAGCTGGGGCGGGGTTGTGTAAAAAAGCGTCCGAAAATGTGTATGTCCGAAATACAAGTGATATATTATAGTCGAGTTTAAAGCTATATTCGAAAGCCACATAATAAAAATGCTTAACATTTTACGAAAAAAGCTTTTAAAATTAAACATTGTTCATAATGTAAACAGTTTCGGTCCTTCAAGCCGGATGAAAACTGTGATAAATATATCAAATTAGTAACCGGTATTTTTTCGTCTTCGTTCTTTCACACAAAAACTCGTACCTGTTCGTCTCTTGAACGATGTAGGGAGTGTTGCACACCTTGCACTTAAGGCCATCGGGTGTTGTAGCGCTCTGAAGTGAACAAAAGAACCTGTATCATTTATGCGCTCTTTACTGACATTTGTTCTGTTTCAAAAGTTGTTAAGATACACAAGCCAAAAATCTACTTTGCAAAACTACATTCATAGACAAACTTTTTTTTAACAATAACGGTTCGAGGTCATGACACATTTGAATCATATAACAATTATTTATTGATACAAGAGATCATTCACTAAATAACTGATAAACATAGTTATATATTTCTTATATAAAAGTGGCAAACGAGGTGGCGGTTCGCCTGATGCTAAGTGATAACACAGGTTCCAGATGTGTTGCCACCTTTTAATAAGGTGGGCTCCGGCTCATCAGACGAAACGCAGCAATGTAACACTTCTACTTTACGCCGGTATCCTGTGAGGTCGTGGTGACTAACCCGGACGGACCTGCCCATTCGTGCAACAGTGAACACTATTGATTGGCCCTCAGTAAATCCTTTTAGTTGTAATAAAATTATTGTTGCGTTAAAATAATTATTCTAAGTTAAAAATAATTAATACATCTAATAATAATTAAAATAAATAAAAAGCGTCCGGCGATGATGACGCGAGTTCCATTATTTTTAACCGGAATAAAAAAAAAAGAAGGAGGTTTCTCAATTCGACTGTATATATTTGTAATTTTTTTATGTGTTCGCGGTAAAAACTTTGTCGTTTATGATTCGATTTTGATGATTATTTTTTTGTCGGAAAGGAAATATCCCAAGGGTGGTACCATGATAACGAAACCTGGATCTGATGATGGCATCCAAGAGATATCGAGGGCCAACATTGAATGTAATAATTAAAAACCTTAATTTTCTGATTGAAGCCGGCTTTTTTTTTTTGTGAAAAATTATACTTGTTCACCCAAAAAGTTCTCAACACGACTCGTAAAGAAATTTTCGCCTCATAAATATAACCACCTCGATGAGCCAGCGGCGCAGACAGTCGTGGTGCACGGCGGACACGTCCCCCGTGCACCTGCAGGGCCTGATGAGGGGCTCCGCCCTCGCGCCGTCGTAGCAGATCCAGCAGTCGCGGGCGGAACCGACGCTGCCCACAAGCGAGTCGGTCTCGACGTTCTGCAATACATTCACCGTAGAGTACATTCGTCTATATATAAACTGGCGCGACTAACGCGACAATCACTACATAGTATAAAACAAAGTCGTCCCGCTGTCCGTCTGTCGCTATGTATGCTTAGATCTTAAAACTACGCAAAGGATCTTGATGCGGTTTGTTTTACTAGGTTGACGACCCGAATGGCGTAGTGGGTAGTGTACCTGCGTCCTGCGCCAGAGGGTGTGGGTTCGATCCCCACTACTGGAAAAATATTGTGTGATGAACATGGTGTTTTTCTAGTGTCTGGGTGTTTCTATATGTATAATATGTATTTATTTACAAAAGAAAAGTATGTTTATCAGTTTTCTAGTACCCATAGTACAAGCTTTGCTTAGTTTGGGACTAGAAAATGTTGTGTACAAATGTGTCCTAAATATTTATTTATTTACTAGCTGACTCGGCTAACATTGTTTTGCCGTATAAATTATTTCTAGAGGAATCGGAACGCACGCATAGAGTGTTTGACTGGTTACCCAGACATAGTTGACAGGTTGACAGGTACAGTTTGTATGGGAAAATAAAATTGTTGCTATTTCCATTTTCCATGCTATTTTTCCATAATTTCTCATCATATAAACCTTCCCTGGACTGCCACGAATACATCAAAACCAAAATTAGCCAAATCGGTCCAGCCGTTCTTGAGTTTTAGCGAGACTAACGAACAGCAATCCATTTTTATATATAAGATTTATTTATTTAGATAGTGATTCAAGAGGAAGGTTTATATTATGTATAATAAATTGCACCCGTGCGAAGCCGGGGCGGGTCGCTAGTTATATCTAATTCTTCTGTACGTGTTAGTAGTTCTTCGTATAATTCATCACTGAACTCCTCCTAAACGGTTGGATCGATTTTAATTAATTTTTTTGTCTTCAGGTCGATTCGAGAATGGTTTAGATTCACAATTAGTTTTTTTTTGGTTTTCTTTTATTATTTATATATTGTTGTCGTATTTAGGTCGTGTGTACTGGACAACGTTTGTCGGGTTCGCTATTAAAGTATAAGTTTTCAAAATTGTATTAAACATTTACTCTCTTTAAACATAAACATTTATAGAGCTATTAAATTTTCAAAAACAAATGATTTTAGAACACGTACGGGACGTATAAAACTGTAAAAGTTCATTTTCTTCATAGGTCACAAAACATGTGAATTGGTTGAATTAATTTAAAAGAGATAAAACATACTGTTATGAGGAGTGACTTGTAATGCGACGTTGTGGCAACGAATGAAAAAGCTGTAGTTTAAGATGTTACAAATTTTGTTTCTTTTTTGTTTAATTACTTTGATTTTTTTTTAATTATTTATTTATTTATTTATTGAGGTTTACCAGCAGTTGTTACACCCATACAATTTATATTAACAGTACAGTAATTATAACTAGGTGTACAACTTTTTTAAGGTAAACACAACATGCACGCATAATGTATAAAAAAAAGTTAAAATAATGAAAAGCCTACTTTATTACATTAAAAAAGAAACAGAAAATAATAAAAAAATTAATCGTTTTCTAATAAGTAGTAATTTACAATAAGTAGTTGCTAATGTTTAGCCAAAAAGATAAAATTTATATGGAAAAATATTATAAAAAATCAATTAAAAGATAATTATAAATCCTAATACAAAATACAAAAATGAATAGAAGGATTAAAAAATCATTATTCAATTTTGCGTCAAATTTCGAATTAATTTGCATTAATAGCTAATATTAATTTGCATTAATAGCATAAAAGCTTTGTTGTTTGATGATTTCTACAATTATTCCATTGAGATAGCATTGCCAAATAATATTTAAGCGGCTACATATAACTCCCGAATCTTATTTTATATGTTTAAATGGATATATCCATAGCTGCTCAGAAATACCAGTCAGCAATCGACGACCTAAAAATGAATATAATAAAAATCGTCGTAATTATATTCATTGTTGCATTTTTAAGTATAGAGTAAATTAGTCTATCATATATAACTAATAATTACTTAAAGTGTTAAGAAATTATTAATCCCAAATTAATAATGCAACTTACCTTCTTAGGTGTCCCCTCAACCGTTATCACTGCATCTCCGCCGTCTCCAATTTCCAAAGGTTCGGCCTTAACAACGACATTGAAAACGACGCACCAAACCAACCAGCGCCAGTAACGAAATATCTCTACCGCCAACCGTGCCCTGTCTTGCCATTTTAAATTCCCAAACTTCATCAACATCTGGGGACCGAGAACAGTGCCTTGTGGTAACCGCATGTTATATGGTAAAATAAAATTTTCACATAAGATAGTTGTAAAGAACCATTGAAATAGTCTTACGTGTCCACATCTTCAAATTCCACAGGATGGAATGAAAATATTATATAAAACGCAAATAATAGTAGCAATTGACATAATACATATCCATCTGCAGTGAGGACAGTCCAGCTTACAGCAACAAACTAAAGCGACACAACAAAAGCATTAGCATTGAAGCTGACGACCTGAGCAACCGAAATCAAAATATACATGAGGGTATATAGTGAAGAAACAACTGCACCAAAGGTACCACATCTAATATTCCAGAGCATATCACAATTAAAAACAAGTAATGTGCTGTCAAATTCCACCAAAGCATACAGCGAATACAGTTTTGGATAAAATCCAGCCATCAGTGTTCAAACTGATACAGGAACTGAACCATTTTCTCCAGAAAAAGTTCGATCCCATCACTGACACAAAAACGCACACATCGTGGGGGCTTAGCCGGCAGATAACAAGCCACGGACAAAGCACACCGCGTTCGGACGCACATACACACCGAACTCTAGGTCGTAATCGTGGAGACGGCGCATCCATCACAAACATAGCTCGCACACAAATCGACGTCGTGACGGATACTGATACTTCGTATAATGTCTTATGTAACTACTTTGGGGACATAAGCACAATCTTTGTCCTCCAAAAGGGAGCTATTTGGGCAGTTTCAAATCAAATCAAATCCAATAGCCTAGAGCCCCAAAGAATCACAAAGAGATTTCTTTAAAGAGATAAAAATGTTTACTGATGCGTCTCAGAATATACTTGAAAATGTTATGTAAATGTCGATAAAAATAATGCATTTTCAAGACATAAATTCTAGTGAACAAACATAAATTAATTCTACCCGCAACTACACAGCGTGGAATAAGTAGATAAATCTTTTAGGAGTCAATGTATATAATTTTTAACAAGTCCAGAAAATCAAACAGAGACATTTGAATACGAATACAGGATCTTTCGCGAACAAAGCACACACACGCACACACGCACACACGCATACCTTGGAGTCGTGATGGTGCGCTAGGAGGTCAGAGAGGCGCTCGTCGTCCAGCTGCCTGGCGAGCAGCCGCCTCGGGTTCAGCAGCCACAGCCGCTCCGGCGCCATCGAGTTCCACAGCACGCAGGGGAACCATAGCGCGACCCCGATCTCCGCCAGGCGGAACACCACGTCGTGCCAGCTGCGCGAGACAACGGGCACCCTGCGGATCCAGGGACGCGGTTCGAATCACAACCGAGGAGCGAGAATGTTCCTTCAGGGCTACAAGCAACGAGTTTCGAGTTTCGCTAGCAGATTGTGTTGTTTTATTAGGCCATAGGGGTTAATAAAAAAAAAGCATAATACGTACTTGCCCTAGCGTTTAATTTGTTTAGCGTTAATTTGTTGAGCAGTGAACGAAAACATCGTGAGGATACCTGCATAATATCGAAATAATAACAAAAAAAATCGAAGATATTTGAAGCTTAACAAACGCGTGGTGGCCAGCAGTGGGACTTGTATATCATCAACAGCCGTAAAACGTTCACTTTTGAACGTAAAACGCTACGTTGCCATTTGCATCTATGAGTTGCCCGCTACTTTGACCACGTCGTCGGTCCATCTAGCATATCGGTGATTTACATTATTCGGCGAATTTCCTCGTTCCGGATTTTCTCGCGGAACATGTGGACTTGTGTAGGTTGTTACTTTACCGTGCAAAAACTCTCACATTCGGACCGAACGAAGAGACCAAAAACACAAAGGGCCATCTCCCGCCACTCACTTGTTCTTCCAGAACTCGCTGAGCGTCTCCGATGCGAGGAAGCCCGCGATCAGTATCAGCATCAGCGCCTGGCTCACCAGGCCGACGCGCGACTGGTGCAGCTGCGAGTGGTCCACCGAGCGCGGGTCCACGGTGCCGTCGCGATCCGCGAGGTCCGTCTGTATGCCCTGGGGGCGGACGAGCCGACTTCTTGTATCGCGTATCAACTGATCTTTTCGCTGAGTCCCGAGACTATTAAAGCTTCATCTGACGCAGATTTACGAGCCAACTATGGTAGGTCAAATCAAATCCTTACTTCCTTAGTTTTTGCCTACGTTCTCGAGACTATTAAAGCTTCATCTGACGCAGATTTACGAGCCAACTATGGTAGGTCAAAACAAATCCTTAATTCCTCACTAATCCTTACTTATTAATATTATAAAGGCGAAATCTTGTATGTACGGATGGATGTCCGTTATTCTTTCTCACAAAAACTACTGAATGGATTTTTAAATTTTACAATAATATAGCTTATACATCAGAATAACACTGACTATAATATATAAAGATATTGTGTGAATTGTCCAAAATATAGGTAGTGATAAGTGTCAACTAAGTAGGAAAAAATTCAGCCATCAGTATAATAAAAAACTCATTGTTAATTCCCTTTGACCGCGCAGGTGAAGCCGCGTTTAACAGCTAGTCATTTATACATCGAAGTAAGAAATATACATTTCATCTATCGATAGTCGTTTTTTAAATTTACCACCGTTTCCTAATGACGTTTCTCTAACGGAGAAGAAACAGGCGAAAAAGGTAATGCCTCGCAACATTCTTAATAATTCGTTTTGTCAAGGTGGATTTGATTGAATAGTTGGTAAGCTGGTTAGCCTGGGTTACTTTTCGCATTACGACGTTGCTTCTCAATACATTTATTGTAATGTTTTGTATATACGTCATAACCTTAATTATTACCTAAAGAATAGTGACAGACATAAAATAAACACTAGAAATAAGGACAAACTTACTACGCCATACTTTCGTCTACAAAAAGTAAATAAGTCGTTCATGGGGCAAAGTGTGCGCATGTATAATAAAATCCCACAGTCGATATTAAGTCTGCCGCTTGATCAAATTTAAATGTAAAATTAAAAATCAACTAATGATTAAAGCATATTATACCATTTCGGAATATCTCGACGACGCCAATGTGTGGAGTTAATACTGTTGATACTCACGTAGGCTAGAATAAGACTATTATACCTGTATATTATATTGTACCCTGATATTTTTGAAAAAGAGCAACTGCTTTCCGAACCGGTGGTACCTTACGAACCTATACACATAATCTTTGATGTAAAATTTGACGATTCATAAGAGCGCACAAGCGTCTATTTGAATAAATATATTTTTGATTTTGATTTTATGCGACAAAATACTTAACGAAATGTCAAATACCACACACAACGTCGATACGGTTGATTGTTTCTTACTCCGAGTCTTGTATTGTTTGTTTCAGCCCCTTCAATGTGCATAAACTGCTTAGTACGCGGTTACGGGTGTACGGGTGTCCGTTGTTAGGCGTATTTGCCACATATTACGCAAATACTTCGCGATAGTTTGCCAAGCCTAGCAAATATGCAAATACGTTCTGCCGTATCATTTGATACGCAACAGAAATCGAAAAATCAAATTCCTTTGAAGCGGCCCTTGTCGGTAAGTAAGCGAAGGGGTTTGAACAAATATGCTAATTTGGATAATAATTAAAATATCCGATACCGGCCGTAATTAAAATTGCGGACGGAATCGGAAGCCGGGCGCGGTTAGCCGCCGGCCGAAAAGTAGGCGACCTTGACCGCAATTCAGTATTACAATAACACATATAAAGCTGTTATAACGTTCACGTTATATAAATATAACTTGATATTAATATCCGGACGAAACTATAGCTGAGGTCAGTCCGACGTTTATCACGAAGAATCGTTTATGATTATATTTTATCCACTTTTTTTACGCGAACCGCCCGCCTTCGCCTGAATTTTAAATGTTTATGGTGCTAATGACTGCAATTCAGACGAAACATAATAATTTCTCCTTACTCTCACTCCTTCCGGATTCGTGACCAGAAAAACTCTTTGTACATCATTTCTACAAACTTTAAGGTGCACCAGATGTTAAGTGATTATCGTCGTGCGTTGATATCTATAAAACACGTTTCAATGCATTGATAGCCTTTAATTGTTCGGGCCCCGGCTACTTCACACACCAGAGGTAGTATAAAGTGGAAATAATTCTAAACGTCCCTCTTTATGAGGTCGTCGTACGTTCGTAAGGGTGATCCCAATCCCGTGCCAGGAAGTACCACTACTTACCCGGACGGGTCTGCCCATTCGTGCAACAAAGGGAGCGGCTGCGTAACATTTAAACAGAACAAGAAAGCAAAAGCCATAAAAATACTTTTTCGAAAGCCTATGGATTTAAGCTTACACGCCAGCACTCAAACGCTACAGATTTCGTAAAAGCTTTTAAGAACGTCTACGTAAAACGAAAGAAGCCAATGTCAGGAAAGTATTAATACTTTTGCTTTCAGCTCACAACTTGCAAACGGACTGTTATTGAATACGTATTTTATTGATCTATTTTTTTACTAATTCTTTTTATACTTTTTCTAGGTGAGATGCAGCCTTAAACAGCCAACACTGTAGAAAAGTTAATGAGTTATGTCTATGCGTTCATACTATTAGGAGACCGTGGGGACCCTCGCTGTACATGGATTAATTGTTACGTACCTGCTTAGTGACTAGGGTATCCTGGACCCCCTCGCCGTCGCCGGCCGTGGAAGGACCCGGACGGGCCGATATGATGGTGCATACCTTCGTCTCCTTCAGGAATTCGCCGCGAAGCTGCAGAAATAAGGGATAACTATCAGCTCTACAACACAACATCATTTCAGCCTGTCTGAGTCCACTGCTGAACATGGGCCGCCCCCACAGACTGCGACGAAGTACGATCCTGGGCCACCTACATCCATGCCATACTTGGCGTGTCGTTATTTTTATATTAGTCCACCTTATTGATACTCTCACAGCGCTGGCTGACAATGTTAGCTCGTATATACTTTCATATTTCTAAATATTACGAACGCAAATCCAGTCTGAATGCCAGAAGTTCCTTGTACGGCCCATGCGTTATCTTATCTACTGACAAATATTGTCACCTACAGGACATCGGAATTCTGTATGGATTGTGGCCCCAATAGCCGTGGGATGTGTTAATCGTTGACTAGGGACGGGGAGCCGTGTAGAACGCGGTTGTACCTTTTGTACACGTTGTGTTGAAAGCACACAACAACATTGCACAATGATCGCCACAAAGCAAATCTCAAGCCTTGACGCCTCTATAGCCTACGCCAAGAAACATATTGTTTGATAAAATTTACGTTTCAATAAAAAATCCTTACGATCGAACCGCGATATAGGTTCATGTTTATCTTCGAATTATTTGGTATTATAACCTTAGAGTTCGTGTTTACGGACAATATATTTTTCCCATCACAAAGACTGAACGGATTTGGATACAATTCTAAGGAGGGATACGCGAATACGGTATTATGGGATACGCGAATACGGTATTATGGGACACGACTTATTATGGGACACTTTTATCGCGAAAATATTACATTTATTATCTTATCGAATATCAGTACTAGAGCATAGAACATTTAAATTTAATCATCTAATTTATTTGTTAAACTTGATGAAGTCTTCTCGTAGATCGACTTATATGACAGATTTGTTGGGGCCTTAATTAAGCTTGCTTGCTATAGGCTACTTAGGGCACGTACACAAGAATAAAATTGTTCCAAAGCCGGATGTTTGACTATGTATGATACCTCTGCAAAACAGAATAACATTTCACTACTTTTTAGGGTTCCATGACCAAAGGATAAAACGGGACCCTATTACTAAGTCTCCGCTCTCTGTTTGTCTGTCCGTTTGTCACCAGGCTTGTATCTCATGAACCATGGTAGTCAAACGGTTGAAACTTCTAAAGATGATGAAAAAGAACACCAGAAAAAGACTATGTTTCATTACACAATATTTTTCCAGTAGTGGAGATCAAACCCACAGCCACTGGTGCAAGAGACAGGGTCACTATCCAGAACCCAATTGAGTTGTCGGTATGCGTAGGTATTTCCCCCGAATCGACAAAAAAAAAGGTGTGTACCATTGTTGAATACATCGCAAACAGTGACACATAGACGGACGTAAAATTCCATGACTTAAAAAAAGGTGCCCACACAAAGAAAAATAGCAGAAACACAGGTGATTAAAAACAGGTCGCGAGTAGCGAAATTGTTTCCTTGTGTAAGTACGACGCATTGAAGTAACGGAGTTCTTGAATTAATCAAATTATTGCAGAGCGAATTTACTCGAGATCTTTCCCTGTTTTGAAAAATACCCCACTTCGTCATCATTATCATCACCATCAGCCAGTGACCAGCAGACAGTGCTGAAAAACACTGCCCAGTCCATTGGACAGTGTTTATCAGCACTGTTGAACATAGGCCTCCCACTCAGAACGCCATAAATGACAGTGTCGATTATTTTCCAATAATTAAAGAGGTAATCATAAACGTAAGCAAGCAATACACATTCAAACTATGCTTACATTTTTTTATTACCTCTTGTACGACGAACAGTACAGGACTACTTTTAGTAAAAAACTGTAACCAATTATTATTGGTTTAATTTTTTGTACTAATGTAGTTTACTTATAATGTTTGTACACTATGCAGTAGGAACACAGCAAGGTTATATTGACCTGTTAGCAATTTTACATTGAGCTGTCATTTTATTCAGTAACGGTGATTAGTGCGTTTTTTAAAACCAGAAAAACTTGTTTTCATCACGAATAATGTCTAATTTTAAACGATTCGCCGATACACTGATAAAAGGTCGTTGTGGAGGAAGGTTAGGTTAGGTTACGTAGACAGAGAATGATATAACGAAGTTCAGTCACAAATCTCAATTGTAATGATAAAAGTCTTATGTAACACAATCATAAAACGTATGTAAGACTGTGTTGACCGATAACTATCCCAAAAGTCTAGATGCAGACATAATATATAATAATAAATAACCGAGTAAAAAAATTTTCAAAATTTACCGAACGAATGATGCGACATATCAAATTAAATTTTCCGCGTATAAGATTTATCTAACTCAAAACTTACTCCCGTGACCATAAACGCTGTAAAATTTCATAAACGTCGGTAATTTAATAAGCGATAAAATCTCTACAATATTATAATATAAAAGGAAAAAAATGTTATAAATATTCAAGTGACAATTTCCAGGTTCACGTGTCATATTATTTTTTTGAATAACAAAGGAAAAGTCTTTGATGTATGACCATAAACAACGATAAAAAACTTATAAAGATAGCAATGGTAGGCAGTGTCAACGTTATGCAAGCTTCTCAGATAATTAAAAGTCTAGAATCGTATAGTCTCTGTATACAAAGCACGACTGTGACAGTAATGCACGTAACAACTCGCGAAATGTGACACTGATTCTTACACATGAATACTAACGCTTTTTATCAAGTAAACATTAAATTATCTGTGTCAAGGCGAAAGTATGCTTTTACCGAGATTTTCCACCAGCTATCATCGCCATTTACTACCAGATCGGAAAGGAAAAAAGGCACCGGTCGTATTAATATTAAAAACCGTGATAGGTGGACAACATTTAAAAAAAAATCTTTTATAAAAATATATATTAACTTTTAAATGCCTATATCCCCGTATTAGTTCAATATACCGATAAAAATTATTTCAACCGCCAGGTCTTACGTAAGGTATGTATTTCATATTAGGTTTTCTTTGACACACGTCTCTCGTAGATCGTGAAAAATATAAGGTGCACAATGATTTAATTTTTCCTCATACATTCCTTATTAGCGATAATTTACCGCTAAGACCTTTGACTTGGGACCTTTGTTTTGGCACCTATATAAGCACCTGCATTTCTTCGAATAAGCATTATTATCTATTCTGATCTCTACGTTTTAATTTGCATCAAATATTGAGGTTCCTACTCTCGTTCCTACAATACGTCTATAGACAAATACATTATTTCAGGTCGGTAACTTATGTCATACAAATAATAAGGACATTTTTAAATTTAACCCGTTATTTACGATATTTCTATATAGTCCTATTTATAAATTTAAAGTAATATAGTAATATCCATTTCGATGTAATTAAACATCTAATTCGGCTATTAAGTTAACGGCAAACTCGTCTCCGTACACCGTCCTCGGCGTGGTGTCAAAACAAACCGCCATTACCCAGACAATGGCACATTACTAGTGCCAATAGAGGATTGCTTATAAGGAGAGCTACGGGGATATTTTTGAATTCGCCTCAGCGAATTTAAACTGTGCAGTACTGTCATAAGAATCATCACGGAAGTAAATTAGAACAGAGAAAAAGAAGGTTTTATAAAAAAAAATCGTCGGTGCGAAGATAAGCCGTTTGGCTCAGTGGGTAGAACGTCGATCATGTATCTTAGAAGAAACAGGTTCAAATGGTAATTATCAATTCAAGGCTAAAAGTTTTTCGTTGGTTTTTCTACATTTTTTAAAATTTCAATAATGTTAACTTTGAAACCAACGCGTCTGACACTCGTGGTTCCATTGCGGTTCAGACATGATTAAAATAAAAACATCTTCAAATAAATATTAAACGAGGTAGAGCAAGAAGCATCAGTATTTGGCATTGAGTATTGGATACATGTGTTATAACATACTTCTAGTAATTGATATTTCTAGATATAAAATAAGAATGTTTAAGAATAAGTCGAGATGACCGAGCCAAGCTGTTTTTCCGCCAAAAACAAATGTCGAAGTGTTTAAAAGCTCTCAAACGATAATCCTGAAATGCTGACCTTGAAATAAACTTCGACGCCATAAATGAGGAAGAAAATCACCACGATGAACAGCAACACGGCATAGCATCCGTTGAAGATGTGCTGGTAGAAACCCTGCAAGAAACAGTATCTGTCAATCACCATGCTATAAAACCTTTGACACAAACAAAATATAATAATATAGGCAGTTCACAAACCAACACTTATGGACATCAACAAAACAGGGTTGCCAACCTTTTGAAAGTAGGCCCCACTTTACTCATCGAAAGTCACTTTACACACTTTACTCGAAAATTCTAAGTACAAATACTGCACTTAGACGAGCCAATTTATGCAACAGCACAACAACTCCCGAGTAACACATTCACACCCATAATAAAATAATAAAGTACCAGTCATTTAGGCCCTTTATTATAATAGTAACGCCGTGCTGTGTAATTGAAACTGGCTTATATAAAACAATTTGACTAAACAATCCTTAAAATATAATAGAAACAGAAACAATCTTCTTTGAATGTTCCTTTAACATATTTATTAGCACAGCAATAAATTTGTATACTACTCCTAATTAATAAATATAACAATTGCTGATAAGCTAAATAAAATGTGATCAGGCACCGTTTTGAAAACAATATTTTATATTATTTTCAAAACGGTGCCTGTGCCTGCAAAATTTATATGATAGTGGTATTTTATAAAATACGTATAACGGTAAAAAACAAAGACTATGAACACAATTCTTCGTTGAAACAATATATGTATACGAAAAAAAAAAAACAGATAAAAACCAAAAACAAAGTAGGTTTGTAACGGAGTACACGCACAAAGTAACAGATGTAAAAGTCGTTGACCTTTTAATTTGAGAAACAAAATAGAACGGTGACTAGACGCCATTGGCAAATTAACAACAATGCATTTGTTTGAGCAAAATTAACCCAAAACGTAACTAACGTTGCCATGTTATCATAAGAAAACGCTTCAAGGCATTTGGATGGTCTTCTTAACAGTTTTTTCGCCACCAAATAACGCTCCCTTCGCATTTTCCAGTTACAAATCGGCGAAATTAAGTGTGTAAGGATTACGTCAGCGATTTATGACAAATATATTTTAAAAGACGTTTTTTAATATCTTTTAATATCAATAACAATAAAGTTATAAAAAATCGCATACTTTTTAATTTAATATCAATAACAATATTTTTTTATTTCAATAAAAAAATCTCATAGCACTGTTTCTCTTTCAAACAAAGTATTTGGAATTTAATCACGTGTGCATTACTGTCTAATTCTGCAGATGATTTTTCTATTATCTTAGCAAATTGGAAATTGGAACGAGGAAGCTGATGCTCAACCTGGGGTTAACCGATGTTAACTGACGCCCACAATGGGATCATGTCGCCCGCTTGAGTCATTCGCTACCTATGTTCTTTTTTTAATATGAGATGATGCCAACCGAGCTGGCGGTTCACGTGATGTTAAGTACCGCCGTTTAATGACATTTGCAACACCCGTAGAGTTGCAGATGCGTTGCGACTTCTTTAGTAAAGGGGGCTCGGCTACCTCACTCACCAGACGAAATTCAAAAGTGTAACACTTCCACTATACACCGGTCATCAACTGTGCGGTCACTGGTAGGCCTGCCCATTAGTGCAACAGCGAAGATTGTTAAGTGGACCTAACACAGTTAAACAGTTGTTCAAAAATTTAGTTAGTTCTCAGGTTTACTACTACCTTTTTTTATTTTTTTATGCGAAAAGTTGTCAAACGAGCAGACGGTTCACCTGATGTTAAGTGAATACCGTCGCCCATGGACATCTGCCACACCCGAGGGTGTGATACACATATATATATATATATACACATATACACACACAGATGCATTGACAACCTTTTGAACATTGGGCTCCGGCTACCTCACTCACCAGACGAAACGCGAAAGTATTTGTCATACTTCCACTTTACGCTGATCTTCTGTGAGGTCGTGGTACTTACCCGGACGGGCCTGCCCATTCGTGCAACAGCCGAGGCTGCTGCGTGGCCCTACCACCGTTAATAACTGAATAAAGATTCGTGTTTAGCTTAATCAATAGGTCGACAGTTCCATTTAAAAGATTCGGAAAGATACAGTAGATTTACGATACACAAATTTTTTCAGGTTAAAAACTTAAAAATAGATTAACTTGGAAATATTATGCCTGAGCAATAAATGTACTTTAAAAAAGATTCAGGTTCGGGTTCTAGAGAAGGGGTTTCGGTTTCTAGAGAAGATTTTAGTACGAACAGTATATGAAGTAACTTACGTGTATTGTACAAAATACTCTTAAACTGTAACATACATTTACTTCTACTATCAGGCATTATCTGCTTCGTAGAATAATGCTACGTAACTTGTGTCTAAGCGGAGACTTTACTTTGTCATTTCTTGGGCATATATTTATCTTCAAAAATATTTGAAGAGCAGTCTCTTTAAGCCGTAAAAATATTTGCAAACCAAATGCAGAGCTTAAACGTTTCGGTATTTGAACAGGACTTTTAACGTCATATCCAAGATATTTTAAAAAATCCAATATATACTTTCCTAAGTAACATGTTATGTAAACTTAATTTTTTATTCTATGTCAACCATTCAATATTTTAAGCCTCTGCTGCAATTTTCAGATTAGTGTCGATTGTTTTTTTTTAGAACCAAAATTATTCGTTCTCTGCCTACATAATGCGCATTTTTGTGTTCCATACTAATCATAATTGCATTATGCAAATAGACATTGTCACCGAGCTAATATGAAAATCCCCTTGAGACGCTGGAAATGAAGACCTCTCATGACAGCTTACCTTCTTCTCGATAGAAGTGGTGACGTTGGTGGTGAGCACCTCTGCGGCCAGCAGTGAGTAGCTGATCAGGTTGAAGGTCACGAAAGCCAAGAACGACTTGGAGAGGAAGCGCGGTCGCTCCCAGCGGATGTCGCGTAGGTGGAACACCTGGGGACAATTAAACATATTTCATCAGAAAGATAATCTTTATATGTAAAAGAGAAGCTAAGCGCACCAACTAGTATAGTATAAAAGTATATAGTGGCCGTTTGTTTTGATATTCGCATCCGAATCAATTTATGACACCTACACGTGCATAAAACTTATGCTATTGTCAGATGGCAGAACAATAGTGAGGCCTTGTTCTCTATCCCGATATAATGTTTTACTCGATTTGTTGTCACCTCCCCATGGCCTTATAACGGCGTCATGTACTTGGTAAGTTCATATTCCAGTGAACCTGCAGCAAGCAAAGCTGTAGTGAAAGTCTTTGGTATTTTTGGTTTCGATATAGACACTTCTAGCAAGCGACCTTGCGCTGTCACCGGTAACCTTTTCTATCAATGAAACAATGTTTCCGTATATAAATGGTCACAAGTACCAAGAGGGGCAGGCAGAGGATGCTGAATTACAATTTTGCCAATGCTGGCCCACGTCTTATCCTACGTCCATCCACACGAACCCATGCGGTAGGGCCACCCAGAAGCAAAAGGGCAGGCTTGTCAGGGAGGAACCATGGCTGCACAGAAGACCGGCGAGAAGGGAATGTATTATGCTTTCGCGTGTTTCGTTCGTGAGTGAGGTATCCGCAGCCCACTTTTTTTATTGTTCCCAAAGTATTTAAAAAAATTGAAACAAATAAAATCGATTGAAATAGAAAAAAAAACTCACGAAACTAACACAAACGAATTCACAATTAACCTGTTTCCTTGAGAGTGAGACCTACTTTTAAATGAGTATTCGTAACTTGCTGATCTAACTTGTAATAATCGAAACAGCCTTACGTCGCAGCCTTGTCGATAATGACCAATCGACAAAGTCAAATGTTGACTTTGTTCCTTCGAACCTAGCGGAACCGTTATTATAGATGTAATCGGTGAAAATTAATGTTTCTTAATTATACTTTTTTAAGGATTCTTTATTTAACCTCAACCTCTTTACACCACTGTAGTTTGACACAGTCTTGAAGTCTGTAAACGTCTACGGAAAGTGAGCGTGGAATATCAGTAACGACCATGTGAACAGGCCACTCAAGATCGTCATTCGTCCGAGATACCATATAAATTTGGCAAATGTCATCAAAATCAAACGCAGGCCATAGATTTCTGAAACATCAACATAGGTGCCTAAAATATAAATATCGTTGCATACAAATGCAACGTGACACCTTGATTGCTAGATGTGCGGAAGGCGATAAAGGGAAAAGCCGAGAGAGGTGTGTTCTTTGAGACGAATTTTCGCAGTGGGATAGTTAGATAGTTTCGACGTAAATATGCCTAAAACGATGCGGTGTTCGGAATATCGATATTAAATAATCATATTCGTACAATTTTTTTTTTATTTATTGAAGTAGAACTTCTTTAGGCGCGACTAGGGAGTAACTCAGATTTTGTCTGACGGAAGTAACGTCATAAGTATATGTCGTTTTTAAAATATGACATATACTTATGACGTTACTAAATATTTAATCATTTCTGTGATATATGCCGTCAACGCCAAAGAAGTTTTACTTCAATCGCGCGTAAAGGTTTTACACGCACACACTTTTTTTTAATATTTAGATATTCAAAAAAGTGGTAAATATGATAATGATATCGACTCTGAGCGACTATTTAAAAAGCTTTTGGTGAGTAAAACTTCTTTTATCTTTTTAATTTTTAAATCCACACACTCGCACATCGTAAAGCATGCGATACAGTTACGATGCAATATATACATAAGATACAAAGAGATACGACGATATCGCGTATCGAATCGCGTAGACAAATGCATCTAATAAGGTTACCATGAAATCGATACAATTGTGTTTTTTGGTTTCCGTCGCATCCCTAGTTTGGGGACGTAAGTGGTCTTAACTAAAGACTAGGTCGATCGGATTCCACGGGTGGTTCGTCTGATTTTACATGACATCTTTAACGCCTAATTGTATATTTAACCTGCGTCTACCGCAACAGTCTACGCTGTAGCACGAATTGGCAGGTCCGTCCGGGTAAGTACCACGACCTCACAGAAGACCGGCGTGAAGTAGAAGCATTACTTCTGCTTTCGTCTCTTGAATGAGGTAGCCGGGGCACATCTAATTAAAAGGTGGCAACGCATCCGCCGAGGCCGAGGCGGTTTCAGTGGGTAAGATCACCATATAACCCTGTCATGTAAGGTGACAGGGTATCTTTGGAAGATTTTACCCCGATACAAAAAAAAAACAAAAAAGTCTGCTAGTGATGGCGTTTGCAAATGTGGAATGGCTCAAATAGGCTGAAATAATGATGATGATAGTGTTTATGATGACGATTTAATTTAGTACAGATTAAAGAATAGCCTAATATTTAAATTAACTTGCAAAATACTATTATAAATAATAATATAAAGTGTTATTATGATGTACTTATATTATAAAACTTGGAAAATAGAATATATGTTTATGCATAGCTTAGCTTAGTGCGAGCAAAACACTCGATAAACGTTGAGTAAATAGCAAACAGTAGACGTTTCCATAAAGTATTATGAAGTTTTTAAGCAAATCGATACGATATCAACTATATTATTTTTCTGCAAATGTAACAAGTCGCAAACATAACGCGTTACTAAATTTGATGCAAACATTATTAGGTACTTAGATTTCTTAAGGAAATTGGCAGCGAATCTCATTGTAAGTTTTGTATTCGTGAGTGTATAAGCAGTTACAATTATTACATGACAGAATAAATAAAATAATAAAAAATAATTTTCATAATAGATTTTTGTAGACGGGGCTAAATCGTTGTCAGCACGAAGCTATCATGCTAAGACAATCGCCTTTTATGCTGTGTGTTGCTGAATAAAGAAAGTCATGAATTCAAAAAGACTAAAGTGAAAAGTATTTAAACCACCGCAATCACATATTTCAGTAACATAAAAATATATATTTTTACTACTATGCTTTTACTACTAATAGCGTAAGCGGAAGTTTTAAATGCATCACTGATGTGTTTGCATTAAACGTGTTATGTTTGTCTGCTTCTCAAGACCCATAAAATTCAATAGCTAAAGTGTTGCAAACGCATTGTCGACTGTATACATTTAAGTATATATTTCAATAAAATACATTCCCCACTTGGTTCATGGGCTTTTGTTATCGCTCTAATGGTAGTCAGTTTTTAGACGACAGTTTTTTTATGAAATCAAAAAATTTGTTTCATTCGTCTATTTTTCTTCAATAGCAAAGGCATAAGCTTAAAAATTATGTTCGAAACATTAATTTTGATGAAGTACCATGTAAGTTATGGCGTGATAAAATTAATTTTTCATGATAAAATTTTCGTTTAAAATGTCTTATAAAGAATATGTGATAAATCCAACTATTGACGATTGTTTAAATGAAAGACGCCGAAGTACTGCCTTCAAAGTAAGACTCGCCTTCAAAATAACACACCTTCCATTAATAAATAACTTACACATTATCGTATTACCACCATTACGGTGACTAATCACGCTAGTATGGGAAAATTTCGCACTATTATTGCCCTGAACAAATAATAAGAGGGACTAATTGTAATCTGTAATTTTATTCATAACTACTTGTGCCCGCGACTTTGTGCGCGTGGAATTTAAAATAAATAAATAAAATTTCGTAAAAGTAGCCGAAGTTACTCCTTATTAAATCAGCTATCTGCCAGCGAAGGTCCCGTCAAAATCGGGCCAGCCGATTTAGAGATTAGCCGGAACAGACAGACAAAAATTGTAAAAAAATGTTATTTTGGTATATGTACCGTGTATACATCCATATGCATTTAGTAAAGAGCGGACACTTCAATTTTATTTATCTGTATGAATGTATAGATGGCAACATTAAGTTTAGTTTCCAATGTATTTATTTTGAAGATAATCGCATCGTCTTGTGTAGTATAATCTTAACATTCAATTATAATCTCTCGTCCGAACCCGTTATTTATTATCACGCGTAAACACTACAGAAACCTTGGCCGCGGGGCAGCCTTCGGTGGGGCCGAAGTTGATTGAATGAAGTTTGATTAAATAACGAACGAACAAGTAAAATATTTTTAGTAATTACAAAAACCGACTTTAAAAATACAATAATAATCAAAATCATAAAAATGATTTTGAACAGTTCCCCGATGTATATCCGTAATTCCATCCAGTACCAATTAATTTAATATGGGACTACATGGGAGCTAAACATTTATTAAAAATTCGATTCATAAATGACGGAGTTCTACAGGTAACAAACATAAATAAAATACTAAATGATCTTCTAAAACATTTTGCACGATTATACGCACAATTGGGCCTTTTCCAATCAAAGAATAAATGAAAATCTTGAAGAAATTAATGAACGTCCACATTTCCCGCAATGATAAGAAATAATTGAAATAATACAACGCAGTACGCGTACATATAAGCTGCTGTATTTTTGTGTTAAATTTGGTCTTAGTAAGAGCAAATTTCGTCTTAGTAATTCATCAATTTTACAACAATATATCATATCAACTTAAATACCTAACAATAAATATACTTTAACAAAATACATAAATGTACAAAATTATAAAAAACTTGCTTTTTTAATGTGTCATTGACCTATAACTTTTCAACCAATAATAGATATCAGACAAGGAATTTCGCAGTAAAAAGGAAAAACGCATTAACTGGGACTGGAAGTTACGACCTTACATCATGAATGCAACCCGACTTTGTAGTCGTCTAACAGCTGAAGCAAGTTTAACAGCTGAATAAATTTAAACATAATGCGTCGTAAATGAAAAAAAATATTAACAAACTAGCCGCTGCCCGCGACTACGTCTGCGTAGAGGGGTGAAAATTTTGGGTTGTATGTATTTTTGTATGCTGTATCATAAAAATATAGAAACAAAAAAAATTATACAAAAAGAAAAAAAAAATTTTAGGGGTGGACCACCCTTAACATTAAGGGGGATGAAAAATAGATAGTAGCC